TCATTATGAACATTTTCATTATGAAACAGTTTCATGAAATTTTCCCCATATGAAACAATTTCATGAACTTTAGGAATGAAGTTCGCCCCATATGAACGTCTCATATGAAACAGTTTCATTATGAAACAGTTTCATTATGAATGCCCCATTCAAATCAAGTTTTTAATATTATAATATATTTAAAATTTTAATATGTTACCATTCAAGAAATTTCCATTATTAAATTTCTTTATTTAATATTTATTAATAACTACCTTATTTATCATAAAAATATAGAAAATGACCAAAATACCCTTATTGATTAAATTTAATTAAAAAAGAATGGAATTTTCCTATTGGTCGAATTTGGTTTATACGGTTTCTTAGAATTGCATGGTTTTCATTTGAACCTGCCATATATATATATATATATATATATATATATATATATATATATATTAATTCAACTTTAATCTGGGTTTCTGGAAAAAAAAAAGGGTAAGCAGTTGAAATTTCATTCTAAAACCCATCTTTTTTTGTCTTTTCATGGTTTATGATCTGTCAAATTTGTAGTATTCTTTATTGGTTTTGAGTTCTTAAAACTCAAGTTTCTTGGTTATTTGCTTTTGGTGTAAATCGAACACATTTGTGGAGTTGTTTAAATATGTTGGATTTTAAATATATTGGATTTTAAACTGTCATACAATTTTTTTCATCGATAGTCTGTAATTGAAACCATAACTCTTATTTATTCAAATTGTATTAATATGTAAAAACTAAGTGTAACTTATATCATCGTTAAATCTTATCTTATAAAACCAGTGGAACTTCAAAATCGTTAAAATTCATGGCTCCCGCCGCATTGCGCGGGTACACAACTACTAGTAATCAATTAAATACCAACACTGTCGAAGAGGGAAAGGCACATACAGGAATCATGAAACTCTTGTTAGTTCATCCCTCAATTGCGTAAAGTAATCATAATTTTGGGCTGTAAAAGAACCAAATAGTCTCGGTAAGTTTGGTGAAGAATAATGTCATCATTCATACCACATGACTTGTCTAAAAATGGTGGTAAATGCAATTCATACCATTTAGCTCTAATACATTTTAAAGATGTCATTCGTGATGAATAAATACAAATATCCTCACCTTCAAAAGCACTCAATCCATTCATGTGTGCAACAAATTGCATTAGGTTCCATCTTTACCCTTATGCCTTCCCTGTAATGCATAAAGATCTCACAACTTGCTAAGTGCTTTGGCAAACAGCATACATAAGTAAGAAATGCCAATGTTGTCTTCCTTAGAAAATAGACATCAAAATTTGAACAACCTCAATCGATGCCAGCCCACTTTCTGAAATCCTTCACATGTGCAAGCCTTTTACATTGAGCCTCAGTTCTAACATTGGATGGTTTTAATTTTTTGTAGAGATCCTTGTGCAATTTTAGAAACTCACTTCTATACAGCCACTTATCAAGATACATACAATGTGCCTTCATGCACCCAATGACCTCCATCACCCTCTCAAAATAACCCCCTTTCAAGAAATTAAGAATCAAAAACTCATACAAATCTCTATTAATCAATAGACTTCCATCATTAGAACACCTCTTTATGTCACCCCAAAGAAAAGTGATTTCACGATACATTTCTAAAGAAGAATATCCCATGACCATATATATGTAAGTTGCCACAGTAGGATGGACTTTCATTCCTTGCATACTTTGATAGGTCTTCAAAGCATCGTCAATCATTTTGGCTTTCATGAAGAAGTAGATTGAGGAGTTTAATTCATAAATCGAACAGTCTACATCCCCTTCTCTCATTTCTTGGACCAAAAATGTAATCAAATCTGATCTTTTAATAGAAACATTCAAGATACTCATCCTATCAGATATTATTATGCCAGCTTTCCTGATTTGTTTCAGCAGTGCCGCTGCTTCCCTATGTTTCTTATCTTCGTAATAAGCTGTTAACAGTGATTCATATGAACCAGTGCATGCTAAGTTACCCTCCTGTTCGATATCATCGATGATATCATGGGCAGTTTCCAGCCACCCTACATGAATACATGCATCAATAACATCAGAGCACAAATTGTTTGTTTCAACTGACCCCTGTTCCGTTTGGATACGGCATAAAAGCTTTGATAGCTCATCAATCCTATTCTGTCGCTTGTACCGTATAACAAGCTTTGCTAGGACCTTGTTGGACAGAACAAGCTTTCCGCTATTATGTATAACAAGGCCATCATTTCTTTCTAGCTTCACTAAGGAATTTTCATGCAGCAAATGAGGTAAAACCTGTAGTTTTAAACCTTGCCTGAGATTCCGAGATCCAAGGGGGATGAGGAAAGGTTTATGCAATCCCTTCCTCTCTGCCAAATGGGGAAGAGTTCCCCTGAAATTGATAATATCCAATATGAGTCTGGAGGCAGAATCAATATCGTTAAATTTGAAATGTAAGCTCATAAGACTGTCGTAAAACTGGAAATAGTGATGAGCCCAATAAACTACGACCTGATCAACACAATGTTTAAACTTCTTTAACTCGTCCCTCTGACCATTAATTTCATAGATCCGGGCAATAGCTATGATAGTATGTGCATCAGCTACCACCCCTATTTGTGACATACACTCTATGATTTGCTGAGCCTTGAAAGATAAGTTATAACTTGCGCAAGCATCAAGTACAAGGTTAAAAATTATAGTATCAGGTTTCATCAGATCTGCATGCATGGATCTGTTGGAACCCAAGCACTGAAACTGATCGCAAATCTGGATCAATATGTTTGATGCAAGATACGTGCCAATCTCTTTCTTGACCATATGAAGAACAAACGTCCCTAACAAGTTACTTGGTGGAATATTCCCTTTCTCAATCATTATCCTAAGAATCATGGATGCAGGAATGGACATCTGTGCTCTTGCTAAGCAGAGTGAGAGGTTGCGCAGCAGGTCTAGGTGAAGCAGGTTTGATTTTTTTTTGGAAAGTAAAAGGATTATATCACATGCCCTCTGAAGATATTTGGCTTCAGATGAGTAGGACAATTCTGTTATAAACCTTCTCAATAAACGGTCATCTGGTAAACCATAAAGTCTCTTAAAATCTGTGTATGCTTCCCATGCTTCATCCACTTGATGATTCTTTAAACAACTTTCAAGCTCTTTAAGCAAAATGTCATGAGAAGATTCTTCGCAACGCAACCATCTGGGCTTTGCACGACTGCAGAGATATCTCAGATGAACATTCAAGGGCCCTTTACAGAATACATATGAAAGAAAAGCCCTGCTGCCATTGTGGCTGTCAAATTCTTTCCCACATATAGGCATTAAGGCAGGATGCATGTAAATCGGAGCCAGATGAACAAGACTTGAGCTACTACGGATAAAGCAAAGATCAAACATGGATGCTCTCACCAGTGACCATGCCATTTAGATATATCTGTAAAAAATTGAAAAATAAAGCATCCCAAGGAATTCCATGAGAATTATAAATACTTAATAGAGGATTGACTATGCCCTAAACAGACCAAAATGAGGTAATAATCTTCCAGATTGCACATAAAACTCTTACCAGTTTATATGCATGTTTGGTTATCAACAACCCAGAGTTCAACTCAAGCTCCTTTCAGTAGGAAGTGTTAAATTCTGTAGAATATTAGTGAAATATGAAAGCATTAATACTGAAGCTAAATCAAACCAAACCTATCTGGTATATCCACTCGGAAGTAGCCAATATGAAAGTATTAATACTGGAGAGCATGAGACATAAAAAAAGAATACTAGCAAGTGTGTGCGAGCAGGCAACAAGAACAGTAAATAGTGACAGCAGTAAGGACATGTTGAGCTAAAAAAAAATTAAGCCAACCAACGCAAGCAAGGCTGAAGATAAAGTACCAAAACATCAAACAAAAACGAAGTATTAGGACCAGAGGCTCTTACTCCAACCATGCCATGATAAAGTATTAATATAGAGACTAAACATGGTTACTACTAGTTACTTCCATTGCATATAGAAACATGAAAAATATGACTTCACATATTCAAAAGCACCTTCATAAGTTATGATTCATATATTAGTTTCTAGTGATTATAGTATGTGTTAGCATCGGTGACTTAACACAGATCTGACATGTATAACTTATAGACACCAATAACCAAAACAAAATTTTACAAAACATCAAAAAATACTTCTCATAGGTATATGTTTGTATATATGCCAGCTTGATTTAAACACCCTTCAATGCAAATGCCTTGTCAAGAAGGTAATGGTGTGCCACTTAACTATTTATCATGACTTATATAAGAAAGAAAGAATGTTGTTGGGGAAGTCTACTAGAAGGAAGGGAGAAACTTTACTTTGATACAGAAAGGCCTTCTCTTCTATTAGCATTATAATTGATAAGAAATTCATAGACCAATAAATGATGAGTAAGGAAAGGTAAGTATTAACTTCTCTCTCGTGTTTATAAGTTGGAACAAATAACAACGAATTTCTTTGTTAGGTTTTTTTTATCAACATTAAAAACACTGCCACACTTTTCATACAGCAAATGAGCTCCCATAACTCAGTTCGTTGCTGTACATGTTGCCCAATAAAAGGTACTCAAAGATATTTTAAAGTTCCAAGTTACAATTACCCACGTCTCATAAGGCATTTAATCAAATCCTGGTGGTCTTCTTCAGTTTCTTCAAATGTCCCAAAGTCCCATCATCGGAAACAAACTACTCCCACCAGATAAATGATTTTACAAATATAAGTCACAAAATACCAACCAAATACGAGTAACTTTATAATTCAAGACTTCCATTAAGAAATATGCCTCACTAGAACTCTCTATGCACATATACATGTAAGAATTCCTACAAATATAACAGATATTGTAATTCGGATTAGGTTTATCATCGTATGAACTGCATTGCTGATATTGACCCATTTCGAGTAACTCCTCAACCTGGAGTTCCGCCTGAAGAAGCAGGGGCCACAGTAGCTGCCTAATCTTCTACTGGTACATGGACAACGAGATAGTGCTTATTCAACTCTCTCAAAATGGAATATTTCTAGCCTATATAATCTACCACAATTTTCATTATGAATTTCTCATATTAATCACAAAGTTTCAGTTTCACCAAATATTGAAACTAATGAACAATATCAATATTAATCCACAAAACAATTGAAATGAGTGAGTCATAATCTGCATTGGACTTGAATAGAAAACGTAACAGATAGAGGAAAGAGAGAGCGAGAGAGAGATACCTGATTCGATTTAAAAGATTGTCGGTAGCAGACATGAATGGGGGAGTGAGGAGAAGAAGAATTTTTGTTTCGCTTCGGGGTTTAGGATGTAAGATAAGCGTTAAAACATAAAATTGGAAATTTGGGCATATGAAACTTTCACCTTTAATAATCTACATTCCCAAGAGTAACATGAAGCAGATTCCTCGTGGAAGAACAATGTTTGTTCAATTGAAGATAAACACAAAGAAAAACAAAATCCTAACGGAAAGAACAAATGAAAAAATCATTAGACTTTCTCATTTTAAATGATTAAGTTATTGAACATTTTTTAAATAAAAATCATCGAACTTTCAAAAATCGGTCACTTGTATCCTTTTAACCCAAAAAGTTACATGTAATCGACTAGCAATGTTTTAAAGTAATTGAAAACATAAATCAGTTTTATCGTTCTCAATCCTACGTCATTCAAGCCCTTCGCACACAACGACATCACTCCCCCCCGCCACTCCTCGTCGTCCCATCGTTGTTTGTTCTCTATACCGTCAATTGCCACCGTTGGTCTCTATCATCGATCTTGTTTTTAATTTGTTGTTTTCTTTTGATTCTCTTTTACAACAATTTAATAGAGCACATATAAGTATATCAAAAAAGATGGAGAATCAAAAAAACAAAAGACAATCAAAAAAATGAGATCGAGGGTAGGAGTCAACAGCACCGATGGGCGGTGATGGAGAGCAGACGGCGATGAGACGACGAGGGGTTTGAATGGCGTAGTTTGGGAACGGTAAACTCAATTTAAATTTTCTTATATGTTAAAATCTTCCTAGCCGATTTTAAGTATTTTTTGGGTTAAAATAACGTCGATAACCAATTTTTAAACTTTTGGTGATTTATTTATTCAAAAAAAGGTTTAGGGATTCAATACTTCAAAATGAAAAGGTTTAATAATTTACTTATCTATACTATATTATAAAGCATTTGATAAAAACTCTTAAGACCCATTTTTTATGCATAAAGTAGTGCTTATTGATGCATATTACTAAAAATTCAAAATTACAAGTAGATTGTGCTTAGTGAAAACTTACTAAAGTTTCATGTTTGAATTCATGTAACTAACAGCAGATAAATATAATCAAATAAACATCTCATTTTTTTAATATAAAAATATAAAATATAATTAAGATAAACATTATGTTCTCACATAATACTTAATGTAGAGAATGAACATTAATCAAGATATGGCTGTAGATAAAAATATAAAATATAATTAAGATAAACATTATGTTCTCACATAATACTTAATTATTATACTTATTAAAAAATTTATATTATCGAACCTAAAATAAATTAATTCGTTATTAAATCTAAACTAAATTATAATAAGAAGATTGAACTAAAAATTATCTTTATAAAAAAATATTATATTATTAGACCTAAAATAAATTACTTCGTTATCAAACCTCAAATTAAATAATACTAAAAAATTGAACTAAAAATATAAAAAAACGATAATTATTAACATATTTAATCAACGAGAATCTTTATCCAAAACATTTTGTTTTTGAACTCCTAGATTGTAAAATGGACTCAACTTTGGGGATGGAAGAACTATAACATAATGGGGCCCTAAACTTGTAAGATGATGCAGTGTCATAGTTTACAAAGGTGTTGGAACATCATGAGGCCCTTGACAAATTGTGATACTTTTCTAACAGATAAAACATCATTATCTCACTCAAAAGAAAGCAAAATGTTTCCAAGTTGCATCTAACAGATAAATACAAGTTGCATCTAAGTCGAAATTAGCATCGAAGTCAAGAGAAGGGTGCTGCACAGGTGAATGGGTTTATTATTTTGGCTTTATGGTTGCCAAATCATGGCCAAAAGCATCTCTAACCATCAACAACAATTTGCTTACGCAACCTTAGCAATGATCAATGCAAGCATATCCATTTCCAATAGTGAAATATTCCACCATGCTAGTTGCTTAGATCACCATGGTTTTTTGTTTGATATATATGACCTATTTGTGTACATGATACTCGTACATATTTGTTTGTGGAATCCTGCACAGTGTTCACAGAAGCCATATCCTATACAAAAGTCCAAGTAGGTTCATCCAATCAGCTCCCCCTAAACTATCTTGTACACGATTAGCACTTAATTAGAGACAAAAAACTTATAAACAAGTGGGATGAGCAAGGGGCATATTATCGAAATGGTACACAACCAAGCAAACAAACACAAACGATAGATACATTGACCAACTATTTTGTTGTACCAAATTCACCTGGACACTATTTTGGACTATCCAATAACAAATAGTTGTTTATAAAAAACAAATACCAGCTTGAACAAATATTTTTTTAATTCATAAAACGAGCCAGCAGAGAACAATAAACATAAAGATTCAGGATTTATCTGTCATTTATAGAGTTCAATTATACATAAACTCGGTAGGATCCGTTGTAAGGTAGTGTCCATTCAGATCTGAATAAGATTAAACTATACTTCTTGGTGCTGCTCATGTTCAGAACAAGAGAGTTAAATCTACAAACCAACAACAGTCCAAGTACTAAATGATATAAAATAAACGTCTATTTGATCAAATTACAATATTTTTGGGTTTTCTATGTGTAATTGTCTAAGCATCTGCAGTAAAAAGTTTACGACCTTTTATCACCAATGATAACTATTTAACCCAAACTGAACATCTCAAAGGAACACACAAGGCTATGGCCTAAGGGGTTGTTCTTTTCTTTTTCAACTAATCCCTGTATGGGTTAAGTTGTGGATAAATTTGTCGGATTTACGGCAGATCAATGGGTTTGAGGATGCAAAGAGAGAGTGTTGGATTATTTTAAGGGATTTTCTGGTATTAATTTGTTTAAAATATGGGGACTAGTGAGGGGTCCTGGTTTATTTCATATACCCATTTTTGCTTAATAGCTTAATGAATAATCTGTAGACTGTAAATAAGGTGTCAAGACCATTAAACAGTGAGCAGTCAGCCCCTAAGCCTGTTATTTAATGAACACAAGAATGGGAATGGACCACAAATGATTAACCAAACTCTGACATACTGAGCAAAAAAACGTTTTGATTGAGATCTATGATCCTTGGAAGTAAATCACCTTAGGTCTCCCATAAACTAACTTCAGTGGCTGGTTGCAATCCGATTAGAAAGGCAAGATCAATTGAGTTGGGGATGTTTCTTTAGCAACAAAGCAGTAGCTGAAAGGCTGTTATTTTAAGTACATGATCAATAACAGCAGCCTCAATGGTATTGTCGATCCAGCAGCACCAGCCTCAAATGATAGGTATTGGGTTGAAATTAGGTTAGGGCCATTTGAACCCAACTCAACCTGATGCATTTCTAGACCATGTATTCTATCCGATTGTTAAGTCCTTAATTAAATAATTAAATTATTATTAATTTCCATATATAAGTTTCTCTGATTTAAAATAATATCTATCTCATCGAATTTTTTATTCGATTTGTTTTTCAAGTTTATCTTAACATGGTGATTCTTCCACCCGGTGGCTTTCTCCTCATTTGGGTTTTCATATAATTAAATTGTTGGATGTTTTTTTTATCTTGGTGAATCACCATGTTTGTATGTTGTGAGAAAATTGCCTTGTACACTAAGAACATCTTTGCTTGTTCAACTTATGCTTGTTTGACTTGGGTTAAACATTAGTATTTTCCTTTAGAACACTTATGGCATCAAAGCATCCTTATTTTACAAACCAGTGTAACAATCATGTGTTTCATGAATGCACGAAACACAATGAGATCAGTTTCCACAACAAGATGGAGGCCCATGAGAGAATGAGCATTAATCAAGATATGGCTGTAGAGAGTGAACACTAATCAAGATATAGCTGTAGAGAGTGAACACTAATCAAGATATGGCTGTACAGAATGAACACTAATCAAGATATAGCTGTAGAGATTGAACACTAATCAAGATATGGCTGTAGAGAATGAACACTAATCAAGATGTGGCTGTAGAGAATGAATGTTAATCAAGATATGGCTGTAGAGAATGAACATTAATCAAGATATG